TAAATTCCCTTAGATACATAACTGGTAGTGAGATTGCTGGATCATATAGTAGTGATACTTTTAGTTTTCTAGTAACCCCCATACTATTTTCCAAAATGGACGTACTAATTTACATTCCCACCAACGTTGATCAAGGGTTTGCTTTTCTCTACATCCCCACTAACATTTATCTATCTATCATCTATCTACCTATCTATCTATCTATCTATCTATCTATCTATCTATCTATCAATCATTGCCATTTTAACAGCTCTGAGGTGATTTCTCATTGGGGATTTAATTTGCATTTTACCTGATGACTAAAGATGTTGAGGATTTCTTCCTACATCTGTGAGTGATTAATATGTGTTCTTTTGAGACATATCTAGTCACATCTTTTGCCTAGTTTTAAAATCAGGTTGTTTTCTTACTATTGAGTTTGTTGTATATTTTAAATATTAACCCCTTATCAAAAGTATGTTGTGCAAATATTTTCTCTCATTCTGTGCATTGTCTCATCACTCTTTTGACTGTTATGTTGGTTGTGCAGAAGCTTTTTTGGTTGATGCAAACTCATTTGTCTATTTTCGCTTTCTTTGCTTGTGAGTTTTGTTTCCTATTCAAAAATATCATTGCTCAGATCAATTGCATGCAGTTTTTCCTTTTGTTTTCTTCTAGTAGTTTTACAATTTTAGGTCTTATGTTTAAGTCTTTAAGGCATTTTGAGTAGAGTTTTGTTTATGATGTGAAAAGAATGTCTAGCAGTAGTCTTTCACATGTGAGTATCCAGCAGTAGCAACATTTATTGAAGATATTGTTCTTTCTCTATTGTGTGTTCTCATCAATGTATTGTAAATCAGTTGATCATAAATTTATGAATTTATTTCTGCAGTTTCTATTCTGTTCCATTGGTTTATGTGTCTCTTTTTATGCCACTACCAGGCTATTTTGGTTTCTGTAGCTTTGTAGTATATTTTGAAGTCAGGTAGTGTGATGTTCCTGCTTTGCTTATTTCACTGAAGATTGCTATTTATAGTCTCTCATGGTTTCATATGAATTTGGGGATATTTATTCAATTTCTGTGAAAAATGACATTGGAATATTGATAGGGTTTGTATTCCATTTGTAGATCCTTTGGGGCACTAGAGACACTTTTACAATATACCAATCCATTAATGTGGGATAATTTCCCATTTATCTGAGTCTTCTTCAATTTTGTTCACTTATGTTTTATAGTTTTCAGTATACAGGTCTTTCACTTTTTTGGTTGTTTTTTCCTAAGTATGTTATTTATTTTTTCATAGCTATTTTAACTGGTATTGATTATTTCATTGTTTTGGGGGGAGGGGTAGTTTGTTGTTAGTTTATAGAAACATTACTGATTTGGGGATGTTAATGTTTATCCTGCAATTTTGCCAGATTTGTGTTTTAGTTCTAAAATTTTTGTAGTGGAATTTTTAGTGTATTTTATATGTAATTATGTCACCTGAAAACAAGGACTATTTAACTTTTTCCTTTCCAATTTAATGCCGTTTATTTCTTTTACTTTCCTGATTTTTTTGACTAGGACTTCTATTACTATGTCAAACAGAATTGACAGAGTAAGCATCTCTGTCTTGTTCCTGGTCATAGAGGAAACACTTTCAGCTTTTCACCAGGTTCATGTTACCTGTGAGTTTCTTGAAGATGACCTTTGTTATGTTGAGGTATGTTTCTTCTATACCTAATATATATCTTCTTACCGTGAAATAATGGTAAATTTTGTCAAATTCTTTCTCCGCATCTATTAAGATGATCATATGATTTTTATGTTTCATTTTGTTAATATGGTATATCCCATTTATAGATTTGGTTATGTTAAAATATCTTTGCATCACTGGGTTAAATCCCATGTGGTCATGGTGAATGATCCTTTTAATGTGCTGTTAAATTTGGTTTGCTAGTGTTTTGTTGAGGAATTTTTCATCCATTTTAGGGATATTGGCCTGTACTTTTATTTCTTGTAATGTCCATGTCTGGTTTTGATATTAGGATAATTCTGGCTTTGTAAAAAAGTTTGAAATTACTCCCTCTTCAGTTTTTTAAAAGAGATTGAGAGTGATTGGTATTAGTTCTTCTTTAGCTTTTGGTAAAATTCAGCAGTGAAATAATTGGATCCTGGGCTATTTTTTTTAATGAGAGATCTTTTTATTACTGATTAAATCTTTTCTTGATAGTTTCTGTTCAGATTTTCTATTTCTTTTCAGTTCAGTCTTGTTAGGTTGTATGTGTCCAGAAATTTATCCATTTTCTCTAGATTACCCAATTTGTTGGCATTTAGTTACTCATAATAGTCTCATAATCTTTTGTATTTCTATGGTATATAATGTCACCTCTTTCATTCCTGTTTAAGTCTTCTTTTTTTCATTCTTAGTTTAGCTAAACTATTTTTGATTTTGTTTACCTTTTTAAAAAACCATTTCTTAATTTCATTGATATTTTCTGTTTTTTCTAGTATCTGTTTTAATTATTTCTACTTTGATATTTATGATTTTTTAAATTATGCCAATTTTGCACTTTTTATAGTTTATTTAAAAAGTTGTTTATTTACGATCTTTCATCTCTGTGAAAGATATTCTCCCTGAAAATCTGTCTCTGGGTATTGAAGTCCCCTACTATTATTGAATTGTACTCTCTCTCTCCTTTCTATTAATATTTCATTTATATTTTTAGGTGTTCTGATGTTAGGTGCATATATATGTACAACTGGATAACTTCTTGACAAATTTTCTTTATCACTATATGATTACCTATTTGGGTTTGGAATCTCTGAGGTACATGTTTATTGCTGTAAACGTCCCTCTTTGAACTGCTTTTTCTGCATCCCATAAGTTTTGGTATGTTGTATTTCCATTTTCATTACTTTTAAGATATTTTAAATTTCTCTTTTAATTTATTCATTGATACATTGGTTGTTCAGGAGCATGTTGTTTAATTTTTATGAATTTGTGAATTCACCAAAATTCCTCTTGTTATTGATTTCTAGTTTTGTAACATTGTGGTTTTAAAAAAAATACTAGATATGATTTCAATCTTCTTGAATTTGTTAAGACTTATTTTCTTACCTATGATCTCTCCTGGAGAATATTTTGTGTGTGCTTGAGATTTGTATTCTTCTACTCTTGATTGAATGTTCTGTATTTGTTTGTTTATCATGTCCATTTGTTCTATAGTGTAGTTTTTTTTTTTTTTTTTTTTTTTGGAAGCGGGGTTTTACTTTTGTTACCCAGGCTGGAGTGCAATGGCGCAATCTCGGCTCACCGCAACCTCCGCGTCCTGGGTTCAGGCAATTCTCCTGCCTCAGCCTCCTGTGTAGCTGGGATTACAGGCATGCGCTACCATGCCCAGCTGATTTTTTGTATTTTTTTAGTAGAGACGGGGTTTCACCATGTTGACCAGGATGGTCTCGATCTCTTGACCTCGTGATCCACCCGCCTGGGCCTCCCAAAGTACTGGGATTACAGGCGTGAGCCACCGCGCCCGGCCTATAGTGTAGTTTAAATATGATGTTCCCTCATTATCTTCTCTCTGAAAATCTGTCTCTGGGTACTGAAGTCCCCTACTATTATTGAATTGTACCCTGTCTCTCTTTTCTATTAATATTTATATTTTAGGTGTTCTGATGTTAGGGGTGTGTATGTGTGTATTTACAACTGGATAACTTCTTGATGAATTGACCTCTTTATTACTATATAATTACCTATTTGGGGTTGGAGAATCTGAGTAAAATCCTCCTTAGAGTTAGAAGAGACTTGGCTTGTTACCATCTCTGTCTCAACAGGGAAATATTGATGTCTATATGTCATTTTCATTATTGAGATGTTAAAAAGGGTAAACATTTACGTTAACTTGGCCTGGTTGAATTCTGCACCAGTTGGAATTCCAGAAAACAGAGTCAACTGATATATAACAAGCATATGTGCTGTATAAATGAAGGATGATTATATACTAAATTTAGCTTAGAGTAAGAATTAAATTGGAATTTCTAACTTTCTAACCAATTCAACAATATAGGTCATTGAACAACCACCTTAAGGAAATTTTGAATTTGAATGGAAGATACACCTTTGCTAAATTATTCTTTTAAGGTAGAGAAAAATGTAACAGAAAATATGAAAATATGTCATTTAAAATAAAAAAGGACATTTATACACGGAAATAAATAAATCATGTAGATACAAACACACAAAGATCTAAATGAACTGAGCTACATACCATATGTATACATAGTTGTAGGAAGACTTAGTATCATAAGGCATAAGTATCATACATATATGTATTGCAGCAAAATGTAAAAAACAAAACCAAGATGTTCTTGAGGACGAATAAGGTAGCATGATATACGCTATTGAATATTAACATACATTATCATTACAAATTACAAAATGTTTAAGACAATGTAGAATAGTTCCAGGCATATAAATTAACAATGAAAAGTAATAGAGAAAGACATAGGTATATTACCATTTGATAACCTATTTAATTGTGATGCTGGGTTAATTGTTTTCTTATAGAACTTAAAAGAAAACCAAGTCTCAATGCCTTATTTCATGCAAAAATATAAATTCTACATTGAATAATCTGTGTATTAAAAATCAACGTGTGTAAAGCCACATGACTTGGAAAGGTAAAGGTAGTGTTTTGGGTTGGCTAGGGAACAATAATCAATGTGAATAATATGCATAAGAAAAGTTTCCTTTGGAGATTAAATCTTTCATGTTTTTTGAAAAGCTAAGATGCTAAAGAGCTAAAAAGAATTGATTAGAATATAAAAGACACCATTAACCAGGAACACCACACTGGTGCTAGTGAAGCAGTCTATGGAAGATGATTGTCTTCAAGTCTGGTAGTGGACTTGGAGTCACTGTATGGTAGCTGATAGTCAAGAAGGAAAGATATATGTGAAGTGAGAAGAGTAATAACAGAACACTTAAAGACAAATAAAAATCTGTTTCTCACTGTCTCTACCTTTGATATGACAGATGATCCGCAGGAGAAGTACATACTCCTCGAGCTCGATCTGTCTGCACATGCACTTATCCCAGGAAGCTGAAGTGGGAGATCTGATGCGCAGTGGAGGACTGAACTAAAGCCTTTGACTTTTGCTCTATACCAGTCAGGTGCACCTCCAGATAAACTACAAGATGTGCAAGTATCTGCTTACTTGGACTAACAGTCATAGCTTAATAGCTTTACTTCTGCCTTACAAACCTAATTGAAAACTATATGGGAAAAGTCTTATTGCCAACCTAAACACAGAAAGGAGTAAGGAAAAAGGAAAAAAGTATGAACTGTAAAAGTAATGAAGTTAACTAAACAAAATCTCCTGTTTCTCAAAAGACAACAAAAACTGAAAATACATGCCACAGCCTGCACAATATATTTGCAGTACACACATTCATGCAGATTAAGAGTTAGAATATAAATGTTCATATATATATATATATATATATATATGAACTATATATATATGTATGCTCAAAGAGGAATCAACAATCAATATGATGAAATAATTGATAGATCAGAAGTTGAAAAGTCAGGAAATGTTTGAACATATAGTCAACCTCATAATATCAAGTTAATATGCTTTGGAAATGTATGTGGTAACCTCAATTCCATGTGATTGGTTGAAATTAAATAGTCGGATGAAATCAGATGTGTGAATATGTGGAATAGGATACCTCAAAAATTGGTAAGGGAGAAATCAATTAAAATATGCGCTGAGAGAAAATTGGGGCAATATCTAGGAAAGTAAAATATTGTCATAACTTTTGGTCCAGCATTTCTGTTCCTGGTTATATGCCCCATAGAAATCATCACGCTTGTACAAAAGTAGACTTGTACAATATATTTATCATTTGTAATTAAAACATTAGAAAAGAACAATCCTCTGAAGAATAGAAAAGTCGTGCAGTACTTGTACAAGAAATTTTTATGAAATTCCAATATATTTGTGGGCATATCAACATGAATTATTAAACATAATATTAAGCAAAAATACATAAGAATAGAGAGAATAGGTTATCCATACAAGAAAAACAAAAATGAAATTAAAAGCTATTATACCATATATTTACAAAAATTACATTATTATGTAGTAACTAAACAAAAAATTCAATTAAAAAGATACATTTAAATCTCTATATGACTGAGCTAGAATCAGGAATCCAGTTTCTGAGCTGATCAGGAATCCGTAGTAATTTATTTTTAATTCGTAAAATATAATTTGTACTTCTTTGGGGAGATACAAATGATTGATACATTAGTATTTATGCTTTTTTTAATGTTGGATATAAATCAGCCTTCTTTCTGTCACTGAACAGCCATGGAAAGCTTGCATAAGCAGTGACTAACATCCTTGGACAAATTGCATAAATCCATTTCTTTAAAATTAAATTCAGTCTCAAGATAAAGAGGTAAATTTTATGTAACAATTTATTCAGTGAATTAACCATTCAAACACACACCCCTACCTCCAACTTATCTTCTACTCCCACTCAAACAGAAGAGGGGGAAAGAATAACATACTACTGCTGGATTTTAGATTCATTTTCCTTATGTATTGGCATGCATCACCACCTCTGGAGGGCTTGCTATAACATATACTGTTGGGTCCCAATCCTAGACTTTCTAATTCAATAGATCTGACATGAAATGACTTGCATTTCTAACAAGTTCCAGATGATGCCCATTCTCTTGGCAATGGAAAGTTTAAGGTAGTATTTTGGGTTGGCCAGGGAACAAGAATCAATAATATGGATAAGAAGAGTTTATCCATTCTCCTGACCTGGAGGCCACTCTATGACTGCCACTACATGAGACCCATGCCAGCAGCATGAGCAACATGAAGAGCACCATAAACTTATTAGAAATGCAGGATTTCCGGTTCCAACCCACATCTGCTGAATCCAAATCCACATGTTTTGTGTCATTTTTATATAACAATGCTTTTAAAAAATAGTTTTCTTTTAGAATAGTTTTCTACTTACAGAAAAATTGTGAAAATAGTACAAAGAGCTCCTACATATTTCACACTGTCTCCCTATCTTATGTATACTTGTCATAATTATTGAACCCATACTGATATGGTATTAAATCCATTTCACAACTCTTTCAAATTTCCTTAGATTGTATTTAATATTTTTTCTCTTCCAGAGTTTTTTCAAGGATATCATGAGGTCCAAAATGATGTTAGGATACAGTGTTGTGTTGAGTAGTCAAGTCTCCACAAGCTCTTCTTGGCTGTGACTGCTACTCACATTTTCCTTGATTTTGATCACCTTACAATTTAAAGAAGTAATGATCAGGTATTTTGTACTATGTCCTTCACTTGGCTTTTGCTTGATGCTTGTCTCCTGAGAAAACTGGGGATATGCATTTTGGGGAGGAAGACCACAGAGATAGAGTGACACTCTTTTCACATCAATGCTACAAACTATCAAAAGGGCTTATCACTGTTGATATTAACCTTGATCACCTGGCTAAGATATTATTTGTCAGCGTTTCAACTTTAAAGTTACTCTTTGTTTTTTTTATTTTCATAAAGTGCTCTTTGAAATGAAGTCACTCTGTGCAGCTGACATTCAAAAAGTAGGAAATTATCATGGTGGCAGAGTATCTGTATAAATAATGTGCAATTCTTTTATTTTCAGAGTTTTGAATTATAGCATTCCTATAAATCTTATTACTAATGGCTCCATAAATTGTGCACAACTGATATGTATTAGTGCACACTTTAAAGCCTGTGGACATGAGCTGTATTTGAAAAACAATTCAGATTGAAGATCTACCTGTTTTAAAGTGAATCTTAATTGGAAAGTAATGATGCCTCCTAGTATTATACTACTTTAGCTCAACCTACGATATCGGCCGTAGCCCAGAAAATATTAGAGCTACAATTTATACAGTTCAATATCATCTGCCAAGGCCCGCCTGGACTGCATCTGCAAAACCAGCTGTGGTTTCTTTGCTCTCATAATTCATGTCAGGATTTTTCAGCCAATGCATCATTGGTTTTGAATTTTATAGTGTTCCTCTCTCAATCCTCCGCCCCTCTAGTTTCTAACTGATAAAGAATAATTAGGTGAGGTTTAAACTATCAGGGCTATTCAGGGTTTGTGCAGAATAGGAAGGTTTCTTCCAGGTTACAGCACAATTTGAAGAGCCTGGCAAGAAGTATCCAATACTAGCAAGTAAAAAAGCAGCTTGAGCATGAGGATAGAACTACCCATGATATTTAGTACATGGAAAAAATGTAGAAGATAACTTACGTACCTTGTTATTGATCCATCAGAAAAAATTTTGTAAAGCATGCTTTCTGCTTTTGACTCAATGTAACCTCACAAATGGTATATTAATACATATGTATTATTTTTTCCAGATAAAAACTGCAGTGAGAAACAAGCATCCTCTCCATCCAATTGAGGGGAGGACTGAGGAATTCTTATGTGGCTTGAAGGTAATACAAAGCAAAATTAAAGGGAATTAAGTAAAGAGAAAAAGCCATAATTCATACTGTAAACTATAACTGACATCATCAAAGTTCTTGAGAATATTTAATAATTTATACTAGAAATAACTGGCTGAAACCAAGAAACTGGTCATAACATTTGAAAGTAATATAATTTTTAGTGTTAAACTTAAATTATTTGTTACTACCTTGATATATGATTGCGATAAATTATTTAGTAAATATAAATTATTTAGTAAATATAAATTATAAATAAATGTGTTAGAAAAATAAAATTATATAAAAATGTATATTATTAAAAATGAAATTTAAAAATAATTTATTATAATCGAAGTAACACATTTAAAACATTCAATAATAAAATATACTTGGCATACCATTCTAGCTCTGCCTCTGCCTCCAAAACAATATTCATCAAACATAGGAAAGAGATGTATGTGACGGGAAGGTCAGTATGAGAATGCAATGGAGGTATATAATTACATCAAAACACAGACATAAACTGTGCTATTTCTAAAACTCAGTTATCAACAGGAAGATAATATCCATATGTAAATGGTGCAAGGATGGGATTAAAATAAATAGGTGCATATATACACACACACCCCAAATACAAGTAAATCTTCATTACTTTTTCAAATACCCAAAGGTGCCTGAATTACTAACATAAATTTTAATAAACCCTCAGTGGAGGAAGATTTCTTCATCCCAGAGTCAACAAATTCCCATTAATACAGGGTTCTCTCATTTAAACATCAGAAATTGGTTAGAAAATCAGATATTTTTCTTGAAAATTTTAACCAGGAGTCTATTTCTTCAAATAGGCAAAAACGTTTTCATGGTCTTGGTATCTTACTCCATATTACAAACCACCTTTTAATACTATATTTGAAGAAAAATTTAAAAATTTACGCTATCTTAGATCAGAAAAATATACAAAAAAGAATGTAGAAAATTCTACAAATAAAAATGCTACATAAAAATTAAATTATAATTCATGTTTTTTACATTTTTATTATGGTAAAATATAATATGAAATTTGCCATTTTAACCTCTGAAGTGGACAATTTAGTGGCATTAATTGTATTTACAGTTTTGTGCAGGAATCACTACTATTTTCAAAAATTTTCATCACTCCAAACAGAACCTCTGTCATTAAGCAACAACTCCCTATATTTTTTTCTTACTCCACCCCCAAAAACTCTAACCCAAATTTTGTCTATAGGAATGTCCCTGTTCTAAATATTTTATATAAGAGGAATCAAACAACATTTACTCTTTTGTGTCTGGCTAATTTCACTTTGCATGATATTTAAAAGCTTTATCCTTATTGTGACATGTATCAGAACTTCATTCTTATGGCTCAATTATATTCCATAGTTTGCACACATGCCACATTTTGTTTATCAATTCATCTGATGATAGACATATTTGGGTTATTTCCTCCTTTTGGCCATTGTGAATAATTCTGCTATAAACATTAGCATTTGGATACTAAATTAAATTGCTAGCTCATATAGTAATTCTGTTTAACATTTTAAGGTATCATCAAACTGTCTTCCACAGCAGCTGCATCATTTTTACATGCTGACATGACATGTCATTGTGATTTTGATTTGTGATGGCCTAATAATTAATGGTTTTGAACAACTTTTCATGTGCTCATTATCCATGTGCATATGTTTAGCAAAATGCCTATTCAAGTTTTTTGCCTGTTTTTAATTGGGTTGTTTTGTTTTTTTTGTTGTAGACTTACAGGTTTTTAATGTTTTGATATAAATCTCTGACAAGATACATACTTCACAGTATGTTATCTCACTTTACAAATGAGTCATTATTTCACTCTCTTAATAATGTGTTTTATTAACCAAAGGTTTTAATATATTTTAAACTCGTACTGTGATATGATATACCCTGTGATTAACAAATTTATTACTTAAAAAAGTTAATTTTTTAAAATTACTCCATATATTTGTCCTTATTGCTCACTTCCTACTTCATGAACATCAATTATCTGTTTGACAGATTGCCATTTTCCATGCTTCATACTAATTTTTTCTTTTTCTTTAAGATGTAAAGTTAGGTTAAAAATTTAAGATTTTTCTTCTTTTTAAAAGTTCAGATGTGTACAGTTAAAATGTATCTCTAAATACTGCTTTTACTATGTTCCATATGATTTCATATGTGGTGTTTTTACTTTCATTTCTCACAAGGTATTTTTTTTTTTTTGAGACGGAGTTTCGCTCTTGTTACCCAGGCTGGAGTGCAATGGCGCGATCTTGGCTCACCGCAACCTACGCCTCCTGGGTTCAGGCAATTCTCCCGCCCCAGCCTCCTGAGTTGCTGGGATTACAGGCACGCGCCACCATGCCCAGCTAATTTTTTGTATTTTTAGTAGAGACGGGGTTTCACCATGTTGACCAGGATGGTCTCGATCTCTTGACCTCGTGATCCACCCGCCTCAGCCTCCCACAGTGCTGGGATTACAGGCTTGAGCCACCGTGCTTGGCCTTCTGATATTTTCTAATTTCCCTTGTGCTTTATTCTTTGATCTATTTATTTAAAAGTTTGTTATTTAATTTTCATATGAGTTTTTCAGTTTTTTTCTGTTACTAATTTCTAGTTACTTTATATTCAGAAGAAAAACAGATGATTGTAATATTTCAATCTCCTTAAATTTGTTAAGGTTTGATAATTTAAGTCACGGTATATACTGAAGAATATTCTGTGTAACTCTTGCTCTATCTAGAACTTCCAGTTCTATGTTGAATACATAAATGTGTCTTCTGGGTTGGGAGGAATAGTTTGTGTATGTATCTGTTAGGTCTAGTTGGTTTATTATATATTTTCTCATTGATTTTCTGTCTGTTCATTTCATTATTAAGAGACATCCAAATGCTCTTTTGGTTACTGTTTTCATGGATGATCTTTATTATTTTACTTTTAGGCTCTTTGTGTCTTGGCATCTAAAGTAGGTTTCTTGTACTTGTCAGAAAGGAACCATTTAACATTTATCCATTTGTTATATGTTTGTTGTATATATTTTTGTTTCTCAATTTTTTCATTTCATTTTTGTAATGACTTGATGTTTTTGTAGTATACCCCTTTGATTTCATCATTTCTTTTATGTGTATTTTAATTTATTAGTGGTTATCTTGGGGATTATATTAAGACCTTAAATTCATTATTTTTTATTATTTTTTTATACTTAAATTATTGTGCAGAACATGTATGGCAGTTTGCTGCATCTATCATCCTGTCATCTACATTAGGTATTACTCATTCCCCAATCCCTATTTATCCTTCCCCAATCCCCTCACCCACTAACTCCTGACAGGCCCCCATGTGTGATGTTCCCCTCACTGTGTCCATGTGGTTTCATTGTTGAACACCCACCTATGAGTGAGAAAATGCAGTGTTTGGTTTTCTGTTCTTGTGCCAGGTTGCTGAGAATGATGGTTTCCAGCTTCATGTATGTCCCTGCAAAGGACACGAACTCATCCTTTTTTATGGCTGCATACTACTCCATGGTGTGTATGTGCCACATTTTCTTTATCCAGTCTATCCTTGATGGGCATTTGGGTTGGTTCCAAGTCTCTGCTATTGTAATCAGTACCACAGTAAACATATGTGTACATGTGTGTTTATAATAGAATGATTTTTTAAAATATTATTGCATTTTAGGTTTTGGCATACATGTGAAGAACATGTAAGATTGTTGCATACGTACACACATGGCAGTGTGGTTTGCTGCCTTCCTCCCCTTCACCTATATCTGGCATTTCTCCCCATGTTATCCCTCCCCAATTCCCAATCCGCTGCTGTCCCTCCCCTATTCCCCCCCAACAGACCCCAGTGTGTAGTGTTCCCCTTCCTGTGTCCATGTGTTCTCATTGTTCAGCACCCACCTATGAGTGAGAACATGTGGTGTTTGATTTTCTGCTCTTGTGTCAGTTTGCTGAGAATGATGATTTCCAGGTTCATCCATGTCCCTACAAAGGACCCAAAGTCATCGTTTTTGATGGCTGCATAGTATTCCATGGTGTATATGTGCTACATTTTCCCTGTTCAGTATATCATCGATGGGCATTTGGCTTGGTTCCAAGTCTTTGCTATTGTAAACAGTGCTGCAATGAACATTCATGTGCATATGTCTATATAATAGAACGATTTATAATCCTGTGGATATATACCAAGTAATGGGATTGCTGGGTCAAATGGAATTTCTATTTCTAGGTCCTTGAGGAATTGCCACACTGTCTTCCACAATGGTTGAACTAATTTACACTCCCACCAAAACTGTAAAAGTGTTCCTGTTTCTCCACATCCTCTCCACCATCTGTTGTCTCCAGATTTTTTAATGATTGCTATTCTAACTGGCATGAGATGGTATCTCAATGTAGTTTTGATTTACATTTCTCTAATGAACAGTGATTATGAGCATTTTATCATATGTTTGTTGGCCTCATCGATGTCTTCTTTTGTAAAGTGTCTGTTCATATCCTTTGCCCACTTTTGAATGGGCTTGTTTTTTCTTCTAAATCTGTTTTAGTTATTTGTAGGTTGTGGATATTAGCCCTTTATCAGATTGGTAGATTGCAAATTTTTTTTCCCATTCTGTTGATTGCCAATTCAATCTAATGACTGTTTCTTTTGCTGTGCAGAAGCTGGGGAATTTGATTAGGTCCCATTTGTTTATTTTGGCTTTTGTTGTCAATGCTTTCTGTGTTTTAGTCATGAAGTACTTGCCTATGGCTATGTCCTGAATGGTATTGCCTAGGTTTTCTTCTGGGGTTTTTATGGTATTAGGTCTTCTGTTTAAGTCTTTATTCCATATGGAGTTAATTTTAGTGTAAGGTGTCAGGAAGGGGTCCACTTTCTGCTTTCTGCACATGGCTAGCCAGGTTTCCCAACACCATTTATTAAACAGGGAATCCTTTCCCCATTGCTTCTTTTTGTCAGGTTTGTCAATGATCAGATGGTTGTAGA